GCGGCAAGCCACTCCCATCCGGTCACATGGGCGGCAAGCCACTCCCACAAAGGAGGCCACACCCACAGAGTAGGTTCGAACAATTTTTGAAACCCACCACTGATGCATAAGCACATCAGCATGCCTATCATCCCTGTCCTAATATTCCCTTGTATTCGTATTCATTCCATATATTCATAATCATGTTTATACTTAATTCTCTAACTGACAACTGGCAAGTATAGCACTTTGTCAGAACAGAATGCATAGGATTTCTAAGCTCTTGGTCTTGAATGAAGAATTTAAAGAGGAAATAGCACAGAAGTTATACATGAAGTACTTTGGGTGAAATATAACATCATGCGAATAGATTTTTACTGCTATCTATGCCGATAGTTATTCCTTTCTTTGCATCTACCGCAAATCTTCAGATCATTCTCCAGTTCTTGGCACTATTTTTAATAGATTTTGAGGACCCAAGTGGGTTGCACAAGACAGAAGCAGCACTGGAAACAGTTCTGTGTACAGAACTATACCGATGACTTTCATTTAACATTTCCCTAAATCTCCTTTTAGGAAATACTCTGCAATTATGCATTGAACATGATTTCAAGTGGAGCTCCATTCAATACGTTGTGCTTCATCTCAGACTCCAATCCAAAACGAGACATGCCTTCCATCAATTAATGTTGGAGCAACACATAATAGTAACTGTGGAGATTCTCCTAGTCATCCAGGGCACGGTTGTCCCAAAGATGCTTTTTCAAGAGGCAACTGGAGTTTCTGGGTTTTCTTTGAAGATGTTTCGTTTCTCGTCCAGGAAGTTCTTCAGCTCTGAAGAAGCAGCTTTTTGGATGAGAAGTGAAACTTCTTCAAAGAAAAACCAGAAACTCCAGTTGCCTCTTGAAAAAGCACCTTTAAAGACACATAATAGTAAATTCTCTTTTTTCAACAGAATTACGTTTAGTTATAGAAAAATTGCAGGCTGCCAAGTTTCAGAGTAATAGACAATGAAGCACAATGATTAGAAAGCCCCTGTCTGCTACAGTGGAGAGGCAGCAGTAGACGTGAGAGAAAGGTGAAGAGTATATGAAGGACCATCACAGCTCCAAGTAATCTGGTAGCTATAATTGAATATGGAGAAAGTGCTTATATTAGGCTACTGCACTACTTGTATTCTCATACATAACAATTATATAATTAGCTGCATGCAGTACCAGCATATCCACATAAATATGGTTCCCTAAAAGACAACAGAGGCCACAAATAACAAATTACAGAGCTTGTAGGTCTGCATATATTCTCCCCTTATTAGAGAAATTGCCAGGGAGGGCAAACAATTTTTATCTAGGCTTTCTCCCCCAGGACACTAACCCGGTT